GTGTTTTATTGTGAGCAACGAGACTTTAATAAGCAGGTTCAGGACTTCCTATTGTGTAGTAAGATGTCATTGCTTCCACGACACTAATTTGGCTTTCATACTTTTTCTTTTTCCCTTTTCTCTTGTTTTAAGGTTCCCTGTGTCTTGCTCACATCAGGAACAAATACACTTATTAGCTTTATTGTTATTGCCTCTGTGAGCTTCTTCTGAGTGGAGAAAATAGACATCTCACTGGGCAAGAGGTTTCTCAACAACCCTATTGCTGAAATTCCTTGAAGACTGTGATAAAGATGTTTCTTTTTGTGAGCAGACATTTATCAATAAGGGGATCACATCTGATTTTCTTACCAATGAATTCATTTCAAAATGATCTTGGTCTCCCTGATGGGACCCACAGGAGAAATGTGAATGTCTGAGTCTTTAAGAACATTCATACCTTTCCTCTTACTGTCTAGCTAAGTAGTTCATTACATGGAAGACATTTGCAAGGACATGGTATTGTTTGGATAACTATTGATCCTTGGCTAGCTAAACTCAAGGAAATGTAAGTAAACAAATACCTTTGTCTTTGGTATTCCCTGAGTAGGTTTGCTTTGACCAAAACTATTGAGGGCCAAATTATAAGAGTCAAAATTGTTCATTATGCTGTATAAGATGATGTATGACTATTATTTGACCATGTTTTCCTATTTGTCTCAAAGTCTCAGAGCTAATTGTTCAATTGCACTAATATTTGATCCTCAAATTCTGGTGTGACTATGTTCTTTTTATTTAATATTAGCAATAATAAGAATGATGGTAAAGCCTTTCATTATTCAACATTATCTTTTTTTATAAAGAATTTTTTATGGTATCTCTCAATAACTATGCTATAATTATTATTTTCTTACCTACTTAAAATATGAGCAAACTAATTCATAAGATTTTGAAGTGTCTTACCATGGATTTCAGAGCCATGACAAAGGTTGAGATTTAAATCTTGATGTTCCAGTGCATTTTATTTTATTTTTGACATCAAATGGCTTAAGTTAATTTATTATAGAAACCAATAATAATAAAATGGAAGAGAGTAAAATTCTCTATTGGGGTACATTTCCCTTCTATGTTCTGTGAGAGCTTGACCAATATTCTTATTGAAGTTAAGAATAGCACAGATAGTGAGAACTCCAGAGGCCACCAAACCATTTGGTAAAGAACACACTTTATTTTTAGCATTTAACTTTTGAAAAGGTGTACAGAAAAACATAACCTCTGTCTTCTTTTACCACCAACATTCTTTCCCTATCCATAAGAAACTACTGTTAATAGTTTCTACATTTCTTTTTAGAGTTACTTTAAGCATACATATGCAAATAAGAAAATTAGTTCTTATCTCTCCTCCATTTTACACAGAAGATGACCTATTTTTACCCTCTTTTGATGTTTTTTGCTTTTCATTTGATAATATATTTAAAATCTTTTAATATTAGCCTGTTTCTTCTTTCTTTTTGTATCTTCACATATTACTTTGTATGAATGTACTCCATAATGTATCTAGCTAATACTGTATTGATAAATATTTGTATCATTTCCCTCCAATTTTTCTTATCTACAAACAAAGATGGAAAAAATCCTTTGTAAATGTGTCATTTTACACACATACAAGAATTTCTGAAGTATAATTTCACAGAGGTGGGAAATCTAGATCAAAGGATAGATCATTTTTCATGTTGATAGATTTTGGCAATTGCTTTTCACTGGGAAGATAAGTAAGGTTTTGAAAAATTTTACATTATTATATTCATCTTCACATTATTTTGGCAAAGTGCCTGGCATAAAAGCATTCAACAAAATGCTTATTTTAGGATTGTTTCATTATTCTCCAACTCTAATCACAACTTTTTTTTCTGAAAAGTATTAGTTTCATTACTGGGTTATCTTTGTGAGACCAAAATTATGTGGATACAAAAAGAGAGAAAAACACCCATATTAAGTCATCAAAGAAAGCATTATTTTAGAGGACCTTAAACAGTGGGCCTGTAGAGTCAGATGGCATCATGAGGAACTGAGTTTGGGTGAAGGGGAAATTGCGAGGGGATCATAGGGAATTTCCCTCTACAGCAGTTTAACCTCGTCTTCAGGGTCACTGAAAATGAGTGATGTTAGAATGAGTGATGTTGGCATAACCTTCTCTGTCAGCCAAAGTTCAAGGTGTATTGGATTGATATCCCAGAAGTTGCTGATTTCATGACACACAGGCTTCAGCAAGCATGAGGTACAATTTTAGCTTTCATACAAGTCTTTAGCCAGTAGCAGATGATAATAGGTTGTCAGAAACCATTCAGTTCTTTTGTGACTATCCAAATCAACAAGAATCTTGTTAAAGTGATAGAATCTTTTGCTTTAAAGGCTGTGATCTTTTTTTAAATAAAGATTTACAGGAAGTTTTGATCATCAGCTTGACTCAGAAAGTTTGATTTAGTCCAGTCTATTTTCTCACATGCAAGGAAATGAAAGTCCAGGAAAGTCAAATAATTGGTTATAGTCAGAATTTATTAATGATAGATCTGTAATATGAACCTGGGTCACTCAACTCTATTCAGAAGTTGTCCCAGTGATTTCTGGATGGCTTGGACTGTATAAAGAGGGACTGACTAGATAAAACTCTGTACCATTTACCTGCATTTCATCTGAATCAACTCCATTGTTTTCTTGTTTTTCATGTCTAGATTTCCATATAAGACTTTCCTTAATAAGTATATGTTGTTTCTATAATGTTTGCAAGCCTTTTATCATATCTTGAGAAAACAAGCAAATAAAAATCCTACAAACACCCTATCTCTGGGAGGAAGAGGTACTTGAATGGGTCCTAGCCAGCCAGTGTCTTCCATCTCTATTGTGAGAGTTTTGCTTCACACTAGGAGGATAGTAATGTTAGCATTTACAGAAGGATAAGGATGTGAGTTAATTTACAGAAGGATAAGGATGAAAGTTCTATTATATGGAGAATGAATATGAGATATTTAAAATTATTTTTATTATTGTTGTGCTGGGTGGGGTTGCATTGGACTATTTACAAAGGTTCTTACAATGTATCAAATATATCATACTTGAATTCACCCTCCACTGCTCTCTTTCATCCCCCCCCCACTGATTCCTAGAACAGTTTCAACAGGTATTATTTTTACATTTATATACATGTGTACACATTATTGGCACCATATTCATCATCCTATCCCCACCCCGCCTCTAGGCAGAACCTGTTCCACCCTCTTGTCCTCTGATTTTGTAGAAGAAAATACATAAAAGATAATAAGAAAACATGGCATTTTTTGCTAGTTTGAGACAACTATACAGGGAGATTCCTTGTGTTGTTTCCATGCATTACAACCCAAATTGGTTCATCTCTACCAATCCTCTTCACTACTTCCTAGTCCCCTTCCCATGGTGGCCTTTACCAGTTTAAGATTATTATATTCAATACTGTACAGTGAGCATGTCAACCACATTCAAGTTTTTGGTTTCTTTCCCTTGCCCTATCCCTCCCATTCATGGTCTTCCCTTAGTGTGACCATGCCCAATAATATTGCTGCATTTAGTTTAGGTCTATAATCCACATATGAGGGAGAACATGCAGCTTTTACATATGAGATATTGCAACCTAGTTGTCACTTATGCAGCTCAGTGTTGGGAATAAAGTCAGCAGTGCCTGATGACCTTAAAATGAAAGATTTGAGCTTCTTGTTTTATGTCTGCCATTTTTTAACTTTTTGGCAAGTTATTTCCCTTACTGATCCTAGTTTCTGTATTGCCAAAATGAAATGGCTTATACTTGATAAGACCTGGGCTAAAATGATTCTCAAGCTTGGCTGGACCTAAAGATAACCTGGGATGTTTTAAACATCCCTAATGCATGTCTACATGGGCCTTATCCACTGAGTTTCCAATATAATTGGTCTGGTATGCAGTCTGGTGTTAGGATTTTTAAAAGTTCTCTGGTGATGTTAGGCTAGTGGGCAGTTAAGAATTGAGAAAATTGCATAGAGAACAGTGGTTCTGTAAGTATAGACTTATCAGCAACATATCAGCCTGGGAACTTGTTAGAAATACAAAGTCTCAGGTCCCAACCCAGGCTGAATGACTAAGAAACTCTGGGGATGTTCCCAGAAATTTGTGTTTCAACACATAGTTCAAGGTGATTCTTATGTGCACTACAGTTTAAGAATCATTGAGCTAGAGGGTATATGAATTTATTAGAACAGGTATCAATCAATCTTCAAGCTAGAACTAGGCCCAGAAGTAGAAACACTTGTTTTGGATAGGGTAAAAAAAACTGAGGGAAGAAGACAGAAAGTGTTCATCTCTCAGCATTAGAAGAAAGCCCCTTAACTTTTGTGTCTTAGCAGTATGTGCTCTCTGAAGAGAGAAAAGGTTTAATTTAAATATGTATAGTTTGTTAAATGCTTTGAACTCCCTAATAAGCTGTTTGTTTGAAAAAAGAAGTCTTCTGAAAATGACTGTCTTCATTTCTATGAGAAAGTATGAGTTATGAGTAAGCTTTCAGAAGACAGAACTTGGATCACTTGCACTACCCAAGGAGAGCAGCTTAGCAGAAACCAGAGTTAAAGACCAAGTTCTGGATATGAGGGCGATCTGGCTGTGACATCTGTCACCCCATTGATCGCCAGGGTTGATTCGGCTGATCTGGTTGGCTAGGCGGGTGTCCCCCTTTCCTCTCTCCCCGCTCCATGTGCATCCCTCCCGAAGTTGCACGCTCAGTCGAAGAAGATGACCATCCCCTATAGAAGAGGACCGTTCTTCGGTCAAGGGTGTATGAGTAGCTGCACTCCCCTTCTAGAACCTCCAAACAAAGACCAAGTTCTCTGTCAGGAAATGCCTACAATATGTACTACACACTATGCATGAACTATATCTTTCCTCATGAGCTTTCTGGAAGTGTTGCTACTGGGATATTCTAACTAATCACATGCAAAAATTTGGCTCAGTTTTCTCTAAAGTAGATATTTTCTTTTTCCATTCAGCCAGGAGCTATTGAGACTGCTGTGGAAGACTTGAAAGGCCACATAGCTGATACTTCTGGTGAGACCATTCAAGGCTGCTGGCTCTTGACAGAGTGAGTATTTATGGCTGAGTGAAGAGAAATGGAAGTATGGTATTTTTCCCTGATAGTACTATAAAAGAGTGGGAGATAAACATGTGATAGAATTTCTTCTGGAGGCTATGTAAGATAATTGATTAAATTTTCCAGCTAGGGAGTCATTTTTCCTGGTATCCCATGGCTGGTGGAATAGCCAGATTTGACTCCTACAACTGTTTCTGGAGCTGGTCCTTTCATTCATTTATCCTTATGACTACTTGGATCAGGCCTATATCACTGCTCTCAACAACTGTTTTATGAGATTCCTTAACTCTATAGTTCTGATATCTTTTCCTTATAAACACACTTCCTATTGTTATGGGAATCTCAAACACAGACAGACACAGGACATCAAGGCTTTTCAGGAAGCAGTATTTATTAGCATGCCAGCAGCAGCTCAGCATATTTATAGCCAAAGGCTGAGCCTGGAGAACAAAGGGGTTTCACCTTATATACCCTTATAAGCAGGTTACAGAAGCAAAAAGCAAGGTTTAATCCATATATGGTTGCATATATGGCTACTTCACCCCCAGTGCTATGTGCCTTTCTTCACGTTTAGATTTTTAAGTTTTATCTCCCTGCTATGCTATTCCCTTCCCCCTGCTACATTATCAGAACACAGACTTGCTTGTTTCTTTTTTTGGCCCTCTCCCATTATTATTCCTCCCTTTGATGCTTGGACCCACCTAGGGTCAAAGAGCATCATATTGATTTAGGGGTTTGTATTTTTATAGCATCATGGGCAGCTGTTTTTCTCTCTATAGTGGCCTCTATAATGGTTCTGATGGACTGCAATACCAGGAGAGCCAGGCAGGGTAAGATCAAACATGCTACCAAGACAAGACCCATTGCCTCGCTTTTCATGACAAATGTAGCTGGCATTGTTTTCAGTATTGCTTACTGGTAACCTCTCAAACCGGGGAGTATATGAGCTGATATAACACCTGACCTGCTGGTGGGTGCATGATACAAAGTATGGCTGTGCAGAAGTCCCAGCAATGGCTCTGTTATAACATTCAGTACATGGGGGAAATCTTGCAAGGGCCAAGCCAAATGGTAAGAGTCCAAGTGTGTAGAGGAAAGCAGGGGTGCATCTCACATTTGAGCTTCCGCTGTGAGTAGACCAGTCAGCTTTCGGAGTGACTAGAGCAGGGCTGTTGTCCTGTTGTTTGTGATCCCCTGCTGTCTCCTGGGAAGCAGGGTCCTGCTGAGGAAGGCTGCAGGCATTCCAGAGGGTGATCTTGCATGGTGAGGCTGAGTCAGGGATGCACTCCCACTCGGCAGACACTGGCTTTACTCGGCTGTGGTGGATCCAGGGAGCAAATTTTGCTCTTTTAACTGCAGTAGGGATAGACAAGATAACAACAAAAGGGCCCCTCCAATGGGGTTTTAATGGTTGGACATTTTATTCTTTTACCCAGACAGTATCTTTTTTTTAACTGAGTAGAATTACCATGGCAACAATATATTACCACTATATATGTCCAAGAAAACACGTTGTTTAAAAAAAGTTAAAAACACCATCTTTAAGTATCAAAGGACATGTTTAGAACCAGTAAAAATAGTAATTTTGTCTCTGTTTAAGTAGAAGACCCTGTCTAAAAAATGTGAGTTTGTGTCTGGAAGGATTTTAATGCCAGATAGCCACACATGCATAAGAACCATTTCCTCAATCCTCTTGGCCTTGGTTATTTTTGAAAGGTCTGACATGAGCAACTCCATTTGAACTTTGACAGCACTTGTCTCCAAAGTGCTTGTCTCTGTGCAGCTCCCCTGAAGATCTTTCTCCCATCCAGGTACTAACCAGGCCCAACCCTGCTTAGGTTCTGAGACCAGACAAGGTTGGGTGCATTCAGAGTGGTATGGCCATAGACTGAATATCTTTCTCGATTGGTCATTTTTTTCCCCTCATCGTGAGGATTTTCTCTTTTCTATATTTCTGTTTGTTTTGTTTTGGTCCTGTGTGTGTATGTGTGTGTGGTGTGTGGAGGGGTAACAAGCAGATCAGGTGGGAGTCAGTGCCAACTAGATCCTTTTGGCCAAATTTAAGCAACAAAGAGACTTAGAAGGAGTGGTTCTTAGGCAGTGGGCTTCTAGACAAGGACAATACAAAACAAAATCCAACAAAAGCAGACATCTAAAAAGCTAACCTGGTTGACACATAAGTACTTATTAGAGTCATTTTTTATGGACTTGATTGTAAATGCCCCAGAAGTATCAGAACTGTAATGACAAAAACTTAAAAGAGCCATGGTTAAAATTCTAATGGAAATTTAGCAACTAACAGAACAGTATATCAGTACCATTAACTTTTTGCTACCATGTTTATTTAAATAAGGTCTTGATATACTTGAAAAACATAAATATATTTAGTGTGCAGGAACCAGCAATAGCATTATAGCTCTATAGAGGTTATATATACGTATTAGTTTAGTTGTTGCTCTTGAAGTAAAGCCTTCAATTTTTCTCATCAGTGGGGAATGGGAGGGAGAGTGTCAGTGACCCCAAATAGCCCAGTCACAAACCCATATAGGGTACCTACTGTATTAGAATTGCTCAAGGCAACAGTTGTTTAACCATCAGGTCATCTAGAAAATTTTACACAGACCAACTTTTAAATGAACTTTTATTTAATTATGACTCAGTTACTTTAGTAGTCAAAACCCTGACAAAAAACACCAGAGAACACAGGTAAATATTTATGTGGACTAAGTGTGGAGTTAGGAACCTAATGGAAAAGAATCATGGCTCAGATGTTGCTAAGGGATTATTTCCCAGATAGTTGACATTAACAGATGGCTCATGACATATAGCAGGATCCCACCAACTTGTAGTCAATGGAGCCCCCCTAAAATAACAGGCCCAATCTGGCCATCCCAGGCTAAAATTCCCTCCACATGACATGTGGAAGTAGTAGGACTAACAGCTCCACTCTGTTGACTCCAGTAAAAACTGGAGATCTTGACTTCCAGTATAGTGCTACTTTTTTGAGGTTTTTTTCTTTGTTTTAATCCTATATGGAGGGTGCATTTTGGCTTTTTTTTTTTATACTTTGCTTTACATAAGTAAATCTGTCTTGATCCTCATATCAGTGCAGCAGCATTGCCTGTGCTCAGTTGCCTCTTGTCTCTCTCTGTGTTTTAATAAACTCTTGTTGTCTTGATAAATTTGTGGATTAACCTGTAGCACCAAAAATTCTTGAAAGTTATCTTGACAAAATAAAAACCATTTTTAAGACAATTTTTTTGTAAATGCTATCAAGAACAATATATCTTTTTGTTATGAGCTTAGAAAATTAAGTTTTACTTTCACATCAGTACATTAAACTTTGACCTTACAAAATCTTTAATATAACTGGATTTTAGTCAACTCAATCACTTACATAAGCATTTGTAAACTCCATCTTTTTATGACAACTTACTGTGTACCTTTATGGCAACTTATTCCGTATCCCCTGGGGGAGCTTGTCTTTATCCTTTTTTTTTAAATTTATAAGTATTTTTTAACCTTTTATTTTTTTAAAAAACCATGTCCTTAATGCTATATATATATATATATATATATATATATATATAATATAATGCTATATATATATATGTTATTTGTTGAAAATAACTCATAAAACTTTTTAACTTAGAGCCTTATATTTGCATGAAAAAAATCAGAAAGAAAGCAACCTTAAAATTAATTTTTGTATAAAACAATTAACAGAAAGCCCATTTGTTAATAGAGCCATGTATTATGAGAGAGAATTAAATTTCAGTTTTATTTATGACAGAATGAAACAGGCTAAGATCATTTTTTTAACTACCCAAATTTTAAGATTCCTGTTGTAGGCTATGGCTCCCCCTTTTTTTCTTTTTCTCTTCTGGTCTGAGCCAGAGTGTTAACCCCTAAATACCCACATCCTAATGAGACCTGATTGAAATAAGTTTAAAAACTGGTTTTCTTAAAAGTAGCAGTAGAAAGGAGTAACAATCTTTTTACATTAACACTATTATTCTCAAGATGTTTACATAGTCATATGTAAAAAGCTTAAGCAGTTTATAACAGAGATCTTTAAAACAAACACCCTGTTTTTTGTTACCTTGAATATCACATTGACCTTGTAACAGTAGTTTAAGAACCATTTTGAAGATTGGTATACACACACACACACACACACACACACACACACACACACAGTTTTATAAATTAAACATGCCAGAAAAAAATGTGAACTTAAGAGTACACAAGATGAGCTGGAATTCCAAGAGAAAATTAAGTTTTGTCCAATGCTTTAAACAAATTGACACCACAAACAAAATTAGAATGTACTGAAAAAAAACCCAACCTTTTAAATTATAACCAGAGAGCTATCCGGTGGAATGTGGATGATTCATCTGTACCCTTGTGAGTGTCCCTCTTTGGAATTGAATTTTTGTTATCCATCCCTTAACCTTGGTTGTGGCTGTTTCCTGGGAAAAGCTCAATCCTCTCTCCCCAATACTGGAGTTTTTTTGCATTTTACCCAAAGTGCTTTCTTTTTATTTGTGTTGTTCCCCATCCTGGTCTATTTTGCTAGTGAGAAAACCCGGTAGGTGCTCAACCTCCCTAATTCCCAAAGGTGTGTCACACACTTTCCTCCCACTCCTTAAACCTGAGAGATACAGTTTCACCCCAGACAGGGTTACTAGGGTGTCTGCTGGGAGGTGATCAGGTTCCCCTTCTGCCTCCTAAAGGCAGGCCTATTATTCAAACCTGGGTTCTTACCAGTCTGATGGGTGGGGCTCTCAATTGGTTCCCAAGTCTTCTCCGGGTTCCTTTGTGCAACCGATACTTGCTCTCACATGCTCCAGGAGAGGCAAGTCCCTCTGTCTGATCCACATGTCTGCTGGAGCCTGGTGGAATGCTCTCCTGAAGAGCTGGGGTGCTGAGTCCTGGCGATAAAGAGGTGAAAACATCATCTCTGAGTCCCAGACGAGCCCCTAGAAGTG